GGTATCGTTGTAATCTCATTCATCGTCATATGTATCCATCAATTGAAGATGACAGAGGGATCATGGATCATGTGTTATTCTCTTGAGAGTTGCTGTCCAATGACAAAATGCTTATTGCATGCATTTTGGCTAATAAATTGTATGGATCAAGTTACACAAGATATGGGAAAGAGACTATCGACAAAACCAGTAAAATTCCAAGTACTCTAGATATCAAGCATTTAAGTAAATGATCAAGCAACAATATGCAAGTGCTGGTTTAGAATAAATAAGAACACTAAAAAACTGTTGAATTAGTGACTACCTGCTAAGAGCTTGTCAATTATTTCTTCCACTCTGTTGCTTTCCTATGAGGATCTTCATTTTAGTGGTACTAGAAAGGTAAAAAAAAGAGCTTGTCAATTTTCCCACTTGTACCTGATTCTCTATCTCCAGATGCACGAGATTTCATCTTCCGGTGCTTACAAGTTAACCCAAACCATCGCCCCACAGTGCAAGGCTTGCTTGTAGTTTTTTACTTGGCTCAAATGGATGTAGCAAGGAGCTTAAATTTTTGGAAATGTGAAAGTGGAATCTAGTGAATAATCTGGAAGCTAAAAAGATGCGAGTTAGGATAAGGGCATTTGGATCGTTGATAAAGAAAATTAGATGACACTTAAATGGCATTTGTGTCTTTTCACATGCCTCTTAATGGATGATTAATAGTAAGTACTGGATTGACATGTTTTGAAAGTTTAGGTACTGGGTTGTCAGGTTTTAAAGTTCAGGGACCAAAGTAACACTAGGCCCAAAGTATAGGTACTAATCAGGAAATTTTCCTTAAAATTGTGCATTTTTTGGTCAAAACAAAGGAAAATCTAAAAATTACAAAAACAATTTATTTTACATTTTGTCTTAAATGATTTATATTAATGACTTATCAAATTCATTGATTTTATGTCAAACTGATATTTTTCTTAATTTATAGTAATTCAAATAAATAAAATTAATAAAAATAAAATAATTATATATATAGTGAGTGTTGATTGAAAATTCTACATTACATATTATGTATCATTTTTAAGACATGTAAAAATCAAATGGACCTTATACATTTTTAAACTAAATTGACATTTCCATAATTTACTAATTAATAACTTAATCCACAATAAACAAGTAAAAACCACGTTGATTATTTTAAGAAATAAAATTGTTATTTGTATAATAATATTAAATAAGTAAAGATCCATGGTGTTTTAAGTAAATAACAATTTATTACCTGATATTGCGATGAACTTTTAATTGATCTAAAGCTTAAACATTGTTTTATTTGTGATTAGTAAAGTTATTATATAATATCTATATGTTATGGGCTCCCATTATTGATGATTGTATTGCATCTCTTAATTAATATAAACTATCAAAGCGTATACCAATATTTTAAACATTTAGCTGAATCATAGAAAGAGCCTTTATTTTATTTAGGTTGGGAGATGGAATATAGTTCTTGCAAGTTGATCCAACGCCAGTTCTCATTGATTGCTATAGATAGAGATTCACTATTTAGGGGGTCTCGCACTCAATATTAATTCAACACCAAAAAAAAAAAAAAATCAACAACATGTAACAATTAATACAAGTTATTGAAGAAAATAATTGGTTGGTGGTAGAACATTGAAATATTTAATGCTTTGTGAATAGATCAGATTAGATTATTTATTAGGTTGTGTTTGGTTGCAATGTGAATTTATTTGCACCAATACAAATGCATGGGAATGGAAATGAAGAAAATGCAAATTTTCATTTAATTCTGTTTCGGATTTCATTTTATTCTAATTCATGTCTTGATTTACTTATTTTTCACTGAATCAAACAAAACAAATTAAAATTCAAAACAAAAATAAATCAGAATTTACAATTAAACCATTTGCACTGCCATAATTTTACATCAGTGCAAATTTAGTTGCATTGCAACTAAACACAACAGTAGAGATATTTGATCAATGATATTTTGGGTGTAGTGGACTTGTCAAATGATGACTTTGAGATGGCAAGTAGTGGTGTTGTGTCCCTAGACAGCTATTATATAAAGGATGAGAATTATATGGTCATTCTACATCGAGGGTTACCTATCCATGATACATGTATCAAGTACCATTAATTCCGTTTCCATGTATGACGCATAAAATGGGCCTGAGTGATCATCACTTGGGTCTGAACTTGGAAAAATTATTAAATTTACATGACACATTTGTATTTAAATTGAGAGCAATGTTTGCATCCCAAAAAAGGGATACGAACTTTCACACTCAATATTGGTCAATGTAAACAGGCTGATTTCAATTTAAGAGTTGGCTTTACACCCATCACCACTGTTTGGTAATAATACAAAAATATCATTGCAAAATTAAACCAATTTTGCATTTTTTATAACTAAATGTATTTATTTTTGCACTCTTTTCAAAAGTCTACTTTTTCATCATTACAAATTTATCACTGCAAAAGTAAATTGACATTATATATATATATATATTATAATCAAACATATTTGTATTTGCATTATTCTCAAAATAAAACCTATTTTTTTTTTCATGTTAATAGATTAAAGCTTTCAATGGTGGTGTGGACATGAGATTAGTGCACCGTAAATATTATAAAGAGGAAGAAGGAGAGATAAACTAGTTAGATTGGGTAGGCACAACATTGTAAGCACGTTGAACGAGCACTTTAATTTTTTTTTAACACCTGTCCCTTAAAATAACCTCAGCCCACCCTTAAAAAAAGATTAAAACCCACTTTTAATAGTTGTCAAAATATTTATTAAACGCTCATTTACCGTGCTTACTTATGTTGTAGAGGTGTAAAGTGGGCCGTGCCATACTGGCCTGCGAGCCGTGCCTCCTTTCTGAGTGAAAAATTTTGGGGTCAGCCCGGCACGGTACGGGCCCACGGCCTAGGCCCGGCACGGCACGGTACGGGCCCACGGCCTAGGCACGGCACGGTACGGCCCGGCACGGTACGGGCTCACGGCCTAGCTAAATGGTGATGAGCTGAAGAGGTGACTTTGATGCCTAACTGAATAGTGACGAGCTGGAGAGATGGCTCTATTGCCAAGCTGAATGGAGACGAGCTGGAGAGGTGGCTTTGATGTATAGTTGAGTGGTGATGAACTAGAGAGGTGGCTTTGATGCGACCTGCAAGGACACAGTGTCAGAGTGCCCGGGGTGGACACTCCGATGCTTAAGTTAGCGAATCAGAGATTTTAAGATAGCTAAACGTGAGAGAGCTGGAGAGTTGTGATAACTAAATTGCACATCTCCCCCCTAGAGTTGGAGGTAAGGCTTTTATATATATAGGCATTGTTTGGCGTGAGCATTACGCAACACATCCTGGATCTCTGGGAAGACGTGCCTAACTGCTCCAAAGTCCTCGGAGGTAGTGGCGCACGTAGGCCAATCTTTGCGCCTTACTCGGTTTATCCAAAAACATTCGATGTGAGAGTTGACTTCCGAGAGACCCGGGAGTGATGGGATGCATGCAGAAATCGACGACGAGCACGTCTTGTAGGTCACCACCTGGACCTCAGTCAGGTCGGCAAGCCCTCGAGGGAGGTCGCTCCCCACATCGAGGTCGCTTCAACCGATACTGACGAGGTACCACAGATCGGCCTTGGACGAGGTGCTGCTAGCCGCCCTGAGTTGTGGACAAGGTCACTAGTTAGGTTTCTACTAGGTTGGGGGTGGAGGTAGGTTGCCAGGTCGGCGCTAGAGGCAAGTCGCCAAGTCGGCGGTGGAGGCAGGTCGCCAAGTCGGCAACAAGGGCAGGTTGCCTAAGTGATTCTGGGTGTCACCCAGTTGTTCCGAGATGCCATGTGTCATGATGTTAGTGGAGGGCCAAATCTGACGTCATCAAATAAAATATAAACAATAATTATTAATTCAAAAAAGCACGTGGTAATAATAATAATAAGGAGGGTTGCTTCTATATATATTTTTTTAAATTATTGATTTTGCATGCGAGTCATGCACTCTGGCGGAAGTGGGGCACCCACTTTAAATGTTCAATTGTCAATTCATAGAAAAAAAAAGAAAGAATTAAATCAAATAAAACAGATTTTACGGTTTCAAAGAAAAAGTAAAATAGATGGTAAATTCTTCTATATGAAAGAAAGGGACTGATTTTTTGTGTTTTTTATTTTTACAATGGAGTTTTCCTTACACGACCAACACTACTTTTTGTTACTGACGGAAGCTGACGTGGCAGATCCAGATGGTCTACGTACCTCCACATTAGATCCAAATGATCTACATACCTCCACATCAGTCATCACATGGTATTATAGGAAGGAGTAGTTGTTTGACTTGTTTCCTCACAATCGTGACCACGGGTGCAACTGGGCCAGGTTGGACTGGGAAAACATATGCCGGATCTAGAACCTAAGCCCAATATGTTTATAGCCCATTCTTTTAAGCCAGGCAATCCGATTAAGTGAAGAGTCCGGGTCGTGGGTCGTTTATGAAGGCTCAAAACGACGACCCGACCATCAGACCTTCTTTATGAGCAATATCTATATCACCACGCATTTTTATTTTTTAAAATTTCGAGAAAGGCCCGTCCCTCTTATCCCAGCTGGTATTTTGATCAGTGCAGAGGTCGTTTTCTGTCGATAGGCTGTTGTGTAATAATCCTCAAGACTCCAACCACTTTAGATTCACATAATCCGAGGACTTGGCCCGTCATTTACGAAAAATCAAAGGGTAGAAAGATAGAAATGAGAAAAATATCTATACGCGAGTCAAAGGGTTGGGCCCAGACATAGGGCCCACCGGCCCAAAACTCACTGCATGCATAACTGGGATTAGGGAGAGCGAAGGAGCGAAATAGCAGATTGAGAACAAACACAAGGGAAAGCACAAGAGAAGGCGAAGGGCAATGAGCGAATAGAGTGAGAGCACACGGATTGCTGACGTGGCATGAATTTTCAAATCCCGCCCAAACCCGGATTTCATTTCAACTGTGATTGAATTTTGATTTTTTTTTTGCTCCCACCTTCTTATCCCCACCCTTTCTCCCTACCTCTCTCTCCCCTTCTCACACACACACGCAACATAACACATCAAACGATAATCTCCTATCTCTGACTCACTCCTTGTGAAACCCTAACCCTACGGAGGTAGTACATTCGTTGCCATTTCTGACCGGTTCCGGCCGATTTTCGACCGATTCTCACCGATTCCGTTATTTTCCTGTAGGATTCGCCATGAAAGGAGGCAAATCGAAGGCGGAAACTAAAAAGGCAGACAACAAGTAAGTTTTCATGATTTCGTATTCTCATTGCCATCGCCGAGGTGCCTAGGTTTTATGTTAGCATCGCATCCATTTGGATTATGGCGTTTCAGATCTGAGATCTATTTGTTCTTGCCTTTGTTTTTCGCCCTCTAAACACCTTGGGAAATTTATTTCTCCGTTCGTTATTTTCCACCGTTAGGCTTTCTGTAAAGAAGAAAGGCGTCGGAGCCGATAAAGTTAGCAAGAAAGCAGGGAAGAAGGAGAAGGCAGTTAAGGATCCTAACAAACCTAAAAGGCCTGCAAGTGCCTTTTTCGTTTTTATGTAAGTTTTTTTCCCCTTGTTTATTTCTCGATCAGAAGATCTGCTATTCGATTGGTTCTTTTTATTTTTTTAATCATAATCATTTCTCGGCTTGCTGACTTTGGTTTCCATTTTTTTTTTCCCAATAAAGGGAAGAGTTCAGGAAGCAGTACAAGGAGAAACACCCTAACAACAAATCAGTCTCCGTTGTGAGTTGTCTCACCTACATAGATTCGTAGATTACAAGCATTTGCACATCTCTATGAAATTCGAAATCTAATGCAAACTAATTATGGTCGTTTCTTGTAAAAAAAACCAGGTCGGCAAAGCCGGTGGAGACAAATGGAAATCGATGACAGAAGCCGTAAGTAATTTACCGGAGTAAATTCTGAATAAGAAAATTTATGTTAGTTGTTAATATCTAATAGCAATTAAACAAATTTGTTCATCAACATCTGCAGGAGAAGGCACCATATGTAGCCAAAGCAGAGAAGAGGAAGAGCGAGTACAATAAGAGCTTGCAGGCATACAACAAGAAGAAGGTATTGATTTTTAAATAGGCTATAAATATAATTTCGCTTTTATTGTCTATTACTATTGATTTTTAAATAGGCTATAAATATATAATATGTTTGATTAATCTCGTTATAAACTTTTCCTTGAAAACCAGGCCGAAGGAGCAAATGCAGCTGAAGAAGAAGAAGAGGAGTCGGACAAGTCGAAGTCTGAAGTGAACGACGACGAGGACGATGATGAGAGTGGAGAGGTTTGCTCTTTTCCTCCCTCTTTGCATGATAAACAAACATAATTTCTGTTCATTCGTAACACAACTATGATTTTTCTTCAAATTTCAGGAAGATGACGACGAGTAGGCAAAGGGGATAGTAGCTTGTGGATGGAAGAAGGGGGGCTAGTTTGTGTAGGGACCTCTGTAGGATTGCGATCTTCATTTTCTGTTACTCTATCATCAACGGAGAAAAAAAAAGATAGATGTTTTCTTTTCTTTTTTTGCTTATTTTTCTTTAAAAGAAAGGTTTCTGGAGCTTTTCCCGAAGCTCTCAAATCGCCCTGTACTTACTTTTCAGTTGCTTCATGATCTAATGATTCACTTTTAGGCACTAATTTGTGTTTTTGCTGCTTCTCCTGATTCAAAAATTTCCATTCCTCTGCCGCTAATATTATTCAATTGATATCGCGGTCGCCTTTCTCCAATAATGTTATGATAATTGAGTGTATGAATAATTGAGGGGTTGGTATTGGGGATTATTTTGTTATTACAAGTTGCAACGAACGCTGGGAAGATATTTTCTTTCTTCCCTTTCGTCTTCAGTTATTCTATTTCTCTTACCATTACATGACATAAATGGTGAATACACCGGTAAAAAAAAGGAGCTGTCGACTACAGTACATATTGATGATACGAACGCTGAGGCCGAAATGCATGTACGAGTAATGAGGGGGAGTGATTTAGACAGGTAAAAGAGCGTTTGTTCTTATATGTTTAAATGTTTGTTGTTGGCAGTAGATACATTTTTTCCAACTTGGACGACGAGCTTTAGCGCTGGGGGGGGGGTTAATGAACAATTTATCGTACCAGTGTACTACCTCCTGTCTGAGTCTATCCCTGCTATAAAAGGGAAAGGCTGGAGATGGTTGTCTGGAACAGTTAAAACTGCCCAGTTGCTCCCCGGTGTCTTCTGTTTTCCGCAATTTAAGCTCTGGTCTCTTTATGCCGTATTCCCCCTTTCGTCACGTGAGGACTCGAGGAGTAATTTACGGGCAGGTGTTTGATGAAAAGCCTTGCTGAGTATTCTCCTTCGTTCAGTCCCTCTTTGTCTCCTGCGAGGCGATGCCCGATGGATGTTCTTTTTCTGCGCGACCACATTTCAGGTGCGGCCAGCCGGCCATTTGCCTTATCTTTTTTATATCACAAGTTCGCTGTCCATCAATAACTGGAATAGTAAATTTTGTCCACCGTTGGGGGAAAACACGTAAAATAAAGTGGATGCTCGTAGGGTACGTTGTTCTCTAATTGGGGTTTGCCGGGATGAGAACGGGGTCGTTAATGTTCTAACGGTACCTACGAACACAAAAGCAGTGGGAACTGGGAAGATTGCGCTGGTTATGTCCTTGTTTCTTCGGGTACAAGGCAAGGCCAAACCACCCAAACAACAAGGTCTACGGGGAGAAAGAGGGTGTGTGTGGTTGCTTGGTAATTTTAGAATTCGGTCTTTAGATTCTCCTGGAGAGCGTTTGAGGGTGGAATTCTCGGTTACGAGGTCTAAATTAAAGTTATTAGTGGAAATTTCTAATTAGTACCCTGCACTTGGGGCTATTGTCACTTTAGTCCCCAAATTTTAAAAGGCGACAATTCAGTACCTGCTATTATTAATTAGTTCTTAACCAACTGTTAAATGACATTTGAAAAAGACAAATATCCTTCAATTGTCATCTAATTTTCTTTATCAACTATCAAAATTTTGACAAAAAATTAACAGCTTCAAGTCCTTGCCTCCTGGCCTATTCTATTCAAGAAAGTTGGGGTTACTAGAATGTCCATTCAAACGTGACTCCAACTTTTTTGAATGAAAAAGACAAGGATTCGAGACTGTTAATTTTTTGTCAATATTTAGATGATTGATAAAGAAAATTAAATAACACTTGAAGGACATTTGTATATTTTTCAAATACCACTTAATGACGGGTTAACAACTAGTTAATGATTGGTACTAGATTGTTACGTTTTTAAAGTTTGGGTACGAAATTGTTGCATTTTAAAGTTTAGGGACCAAAGTGATACTAGACCTAAAAGTACAGGGTATTAGTCGAGAATTTCCCCAAATTATTAAACTAATTTTGGATGATATCAAATTCTTGTGCAATGGAAATACTTGTGTTCAGCAATCAGCACCTCTTCTGGTTTTCTTTGGGTTACGTAATGGTATCAAATACTTGTGCAACAACATGTTTTTTTCTTTTTTAAACTTTTTAGATTTTGCGAGTCTTGTGGCGTTCCCCCCCCTCCAACACATACTCTAGGATCAGCAGCGTTTTTGGGCGTACATATGGTTTCCCTGGACCTGATTCTTGATCATCATCCATCTTGAAATCGGTTTGCAGTTAACAGTTGGCCAGAGCCGTAGGGATTTATCTTTAGCGGACAACCTTGTCTGCCTCTTAGGTCTCACAGTCACGAGGATAGATTCGTTTATTAGATAAGAGAATCCATTCCACGGATTGCCCATGTCATGTCTGCCATTCCAATTGATCTCTCTTCTTTATCCTCTTCGTGGTGAGTTGGTGACTGCCGACCGATCGATGCCCTTTCAGGCTCTCTTTTGCAAAATTTGTGCCTTATTTTTGGTAATTGCTATATATTTGCACGGGGACTGTTTGGCGGAAGATTCATACATGAATAGAGTAAATTGACGTGGTAAGGTCAATCATGTGCAGTCCTCTTAAGGGTAAAAGTCTAAAAACACCATCTAAGCTGTCATGTGAAAGATTTTGAGGGCTGATTGTTTCAATTGGTTCAGTCTTAGACACCTTGTTGATCGACTGGCTTTTAGTGCGCCCTAGTAACAGAATAGCGGGAGATGGCACAAATCTCAGGTTCGCCTGATTAACATAGGTTGCCTTTTATTTAACCAATTAGGGATGTCAATAGGGTTAGTTTCATTCTGGCTGAACCTGATTAAGGTTTTCATTCTTTAACCTGAACCGGATTCTTGGCTGACCCGGGACATTACACCTACATTTATTTAGGTATTCGACTATGATAGGGAAAAGATATGATATAGATAATGAGCATGGTGTTATTTATCAAAATTCATGGGTGGATTTTGATTGGTCAACTTTTTCCATACCATTATCTTTTTTGCATCATAGATTTTCCCTATTGTAATTTATTATAAATTCTAACTCCATATCTCTAAAAGTCAAAGTTAGAATTTCTTTTCATGTTTATTTTAATTTTTATTTTCACCAATGAGGTGACATTTTGAACCTATAAACCAACTTTCGTTGGCTTTTGAATTTTCAAAATGTTTTACAAAAAAATACAATTGAAAGGCTGTGGATCAGATCAAATTGGTAATAAGTTCAACCCGGGTCAACCGGTTGAGATTAACCCATACTGGACATATTAACATCCCTACAACTTTTGTAGATGAGTATGCGAAAAGATCATTGTTGATGCCTACTCCACAAGGACATGACAAAAATGTCCGAAATCCCTAAACCTTTTTTTTTTTTTTTCTTTTGGTTTTTCTTATGCCCTTAAAATAGAGGGAGAAACTTTCCATGCGAGGGGATCGATTTCACATTCTTTGCAATCTTTTTGGTCCCAGTTCCCGATCCGCTCTTTTTAATCTTATAAATGCTATAATTCACCATGACCATGCCTCAAGTTTCTTTATATGCAGAAACATGATATACTTTGTTATATAATTTTCAAGAAAAATTCAAAGCTTTTGATGAGGGCATTAAAAACAAAAATCAAATATCAGCCATACGTCCACAGTATCGGTCCATTTTGGCCAATACGGTTCTCATATTGGTGGGATGAGTGCATCAGTCAATTCTGTAAATACTAGTGCAATGAAATTGAGTTTGGCCATTAGGCCCATTACACCTGTGTCAAATATCCAAAAACCTCAAAAAGCAATATATGTCGGCCCATATCGGCAAATACATAATTGCACATTGATACTTTAAACCTTGGATATAGTACACTCAATGTGTAACTCTCACCAAATCCATTCACCCACCTGTTAACCCAAACACAAGCCGCTAAATAGTACGTAAATAGGTGGGTGGGTTGGATCAGAAAGTAGTAACTAGTAAGCTGACCAACTAGACTCGTGGAGAATTTTTAAAAATATTACTGAATGCAAAATCTACCATATTTTCTATGATCGGGCAACTTCATCAATCAAGTTTATCCAGCTGATGGATTACGCCTTTGAACCTCCTTACTCGATAACCACACAAAATCAAGATTGAAACAACCACCTCTGATTGCATTGAGATAGCACACTTCTTCAACAGGGCCAAGTAACAGGACATGCAAGGGTTGATGATGTATCATAGCCTAGATGTTACAATTCGTAAGTCATAAAAAATAAAAACAAAGAAAAACTGGAAAAGAGAAACCCTGAAAACTCAACTAGATGATTTATTTTAGCGTTGTGGACGTACCATGTAAACCATAGAACCTTCTTCCCCTTTACTCTTTAGTTGATTTAGAACGCTAGTCAGCTAATGAAGGAATCCTCCTTGATTTACATAAACTTCCTTGACTTATAACAGGCTATTCGAGAAGTTTCAATCAAGGCTTGCAGGTATTTAGTGCTTATGCAGCAAGGCAACCAGTTTGGTGTAAATCTGCTCCTTCATGGTGTCCCTGTTACTTGGGTTTAGTGTAAATATAGTTGCTCCTGGATGGTTCCTCAACCTTGCAACTACAGAAAGATTGGATGCCATTGTCATATATAAAAAGGGCAATGCAACTTAGCAGTTAGAAAACTCTGAGCAGGGTTTCCAAAATAACATGAACAGAAATAAAAAGTTCTCCTCCCTTAACTAGGTTACTAGTAGTAAGTAATATAATTTTGATTAGACCTACATTACTTAGACAGTCAATAAATGAACTTACCTCCAGGTATGTCACGGCCGAACTTTGGAATGGGTATGGTTGCCAAGACTGGGATATTGGATTCCAGAACCTTTAGCACTGCAGGGAAGAAAGATGAACTGTACAACTCCATCTTACCAACTTCATCAATGATGAAGAGATCAGTGTCTTCTTTAATCTGATACCGTAATACAAGATATACAATCAAACCCTTCTGTAATTAAAATGAAAAATGAACTACACAGAAGCCCAGTTATGCCAATCTTCAGTTGGATAGGATGGCTCCAAGGATTGTTCTAGACCAGAAAGAACATACCCTGAATATATGGCTAGCAACAAACTCAATTACAACCAGGATGAAAGATCAATTACTGGGACATTTATGTACGGCAGGGTGTGCCAACCAAAAGGTGCTTCCCAACTAAATAACCCAGAATTCCAGATAAATATGAAGAAAACATGCTTGTGTGGTAGTGTTCCATTTAGCATATAATTCTTGAAATTTTAACCTGTTCCATCTAACTAGTCAAATATGAAGTTCTAGGGATCACCCCACCTGTAACTCTGGCAATGCCAACAATTCAAATGATGCTACATCCACTCTGTACTTCCCCACATTAGGCCATCTGAGAGACTCTGGACTGCCATTGCAAAAGATTCTTTAGCTGGGGGTGGGGGAAAGTTGATAAAATTTACATAAAAAACTAAGATCATGAAAGCAGGTTTTGCAGCAAGCTACACATTTGCTCAAAGCTTAGAACAATTAATCTCAAAAACTGAAAAAGCTAATTATTAAACAACTCGTACAAATTAACAACTGAAAAGTCATGCAAGTACCTTATGGTTATGAAGTTCACATTCCCATAAAGTTTACACAAATAACGGAGGCAAATGGGGCTAATTTTGAAGATTCATACTGGGATAAGAGAAACAAAGGGTAAAGTATAAACTTTTTAATCTATTTAACAATGCTTGCCTCCAAAAGGAAGTGCCATACATACTGTATATGAAGCCTAGGTGCCTAAACAAGTATTGGGGCGCTATATGCATTTGTATTACTAATTGTTTTCTAGTTTTGCATCTGTACAAAATCCCTTACAATGAGAGAATTTGAATGGGGTTGAAATATGTCATAGGTATTTACTTTGTGTTGAAAAGGGCACAATACACACTTTCCTTTGGTTGATGAGAGTAGAGAAGGTGGAATACATTAGTTAAAAGGGCAAATAATGTAAATAGAGTAATGTCCAGGCAGGGCCACTATCCACCAGCAGGACTTTTTGGGTGAAGCAGCAGTACTGCAGGACTATCTTTTGTACTACTTATGCAGTTTAAATGTACACCAGCTATATAGTAACGTCTTCCAACTAAATGTAAACACTAGGTATTGTTTTAACAAATATGCAATGCCAACTTTCTGAAGAAGCAACTCTTTGCTGTTACATAGATACATCCCAGCTTTTTCAAGAACAACTCTCTGAGGAATTAGGAGAAGTAACATGTTGAAACACTACTCAAAATGTTTTCAGGCATATGGTTTTTATGCTCTCTCTGATCTAAGATTATTTCAAAGTTCAAAGTTTTGAAAATATTCCTATCATGTTGAGCATGCTGGTTACTAGTTTAAAGAAAATTTCATCTTCTTTCTGACATATGGAGTGCAATGATTTGATTTGCATGGAAAATGCCTGATCCATAATTCTAGGATGAGCCATTCAGTCATTGTCAGATTGAATTTGATTGAGATATATCATCCCATATCTGGTCCGCTTATTAAATGCATTAGATATTGCAACCTGAACCAGAATGGAGGTTTTTGCATAATGGTGGATCAGATTACATATTGTCATCTCTTCATAATAGTTTAATATCTCCCTTAGATTACCAAATCAATAATATAATATAGGCTTTATACATAATATTTCAGTTGGTCTTTTTTTTTTTTTTTTGGAGAAAGGTAACCTTCATTCAAAAAAGGGAAGGATGTAAATGAGAAAATGTACAAGAAAATAGGGAAAATCCACAAAAAGCAACAGCCTTATCAATATACCGGTAAAATATTTGCACCATACAAGCAATCCCTGCCCAAACCAGATTTGGATAAAAAAACTGCAGAATGGCTTAATTCTCTAGGAATATCTATAGATGCAGTTTAAAGAAGTAGATCCTAGATTTCACAGAGGAAGTGTGCAAACTTCCAAGGACCAGTTCCTTTGTTTTTTGCCCACCCAAATGCATTCCCGTAGTCACCTTCCACCAAAACAGAGGCAGCATGAATAGAGAGGGCAATATGCAGGCCCATAAGAGCTTGGACCTCAGCTATGGATGCATCAGATGCTGAAATGGGACCACTAGAGGCCCACTGCAAGCTCCCAACAGAATTCAAGATAACACCTCTAGTGCCTGCACCTGAAGGGGTCTCAACTGAGCCTCTGAAACTGCCATCGAACTGACGAATAAAGCTGCTCTCAGGTCTAGGAGAGGATCAACAGGAGAAGACCTAAGGAATTCCAACAGGTTTCTGTCCAAGTTTCCATAGCTGATCCCAGAAAATGCTTTATTAGCCAGCATCCGAGAGAAAATTAGATTCACAGCATGCTTTATTGGTCAGCATCCAAGAGAAAATCAGATCCACGGCATGCTTTATCGGTCAGCATCCAAGAGAAAATCAGATCCACAGCATGCTTTATTGGTCAGCATCCAAGAGAAAATTTCAGTTGATTGTTACTAGATATTGGAAAAGGATATCGATTAAGTTGTAAAATTACCCAATATACATAGCATCGACCATGATTGCAATGATCAACGATAAGGACTTATACATGAGATAGCTAAGGGGCAAATCGGTTACTGGCTTTAGCAGGTTTTGTGGGAACACAATCAATCAAGAGGGCAACTTTGTAGAGTGGGAAGCATCAAGAACCAGATGTGAGATGGAAAATCAGAAGGACTAGAATAGCACTTTTCTTGATCCTTCTAATTAAGACAACACTTTGTTTAACTTATAATATTTTATAGTTATGATGCTGTCCTCATTCTCACCGACAGGTCTACTGGATAGCCAATGCCATTGAAGGTTTTTATTGCTCCTTCATTCACATGGTTTTTCTTTTCATATCTTTGACAAGGTATTTTGCGAGAATAATATTAACTACATATATGCATGAACCTGAAAGGGGAATCAGCACACACTAATAATTGTAATTTTTTTTGATCGATACTAATAATTGATTATTTTATAAAGAAAATCATGTTCAATTAAAGAAGCTCAGAAACTGAGAAATCTTTCCAACAGGTCCCAAGAGAGAGTTGAGTTGAAGACAAACCTTGAATTTGTAGTAGATGCAAGGGGTCCCTTTCGCCCATCTAACGTTACCACCTCAAAACCCACCCTCTCAGTCCCTTGTCTAACTTCACCTGCGCATTGTGCATACAACAATTCGTGGCATTAATGGTGGAGAAGTACCTAGAGTTCTAGATAATTTAGAGAAAATAAAAGAAGAAAAGAAAGAGAAAAATGGAGAAAGTTTCATCTAGCTACTACCGCCAAAAAAAAAAAAGAATAAAACATCATACATGTAGAGATAATAAGAGAGACAGATTAAGAACATACGCGTGTAGAATCCTTGAACCTTCAAGTTAGGGTTTGTGGTTCTAATTCTCTCCAACACTCTCATCACCAGGGTGGTTTTCCCAACTCCCTGAAAAAATGAACAAGAGGGCAAAAGACAACAACAATAAGAAAAAACTGCTTGCCTGTTCAGGTTCACGAGACACTGAAACCGGGTACCAGTGTTCTCATTTGTCGGAATTTCATTTTCACTTACAGGAGGACCGGTGACAAGGAAGCATTTCCCGGGAGTTGCCATTGCTCTCTCTCTCTCTCTCGTAAAGTCGTAATAGGGAGGAGTATCATTTCATGTTGGTCCTACATCTCCTCAAGGATCCCATGCTCAATATTCCAAAAGTGCGGTAATGAGATGCACTTCAGATGCACTTTTAGAAATGCTAGCATAGTGCTTCAAAGCAGGAAAAAAAATTCTCTTGGTTTTATTAAGGATGGTTAATGTTATATCCATACATGATCCATCAAAATTATGATATATGGTGCCATACATAATTCTTCCACGAGTCCGGCTTCGGTCAGGGGAATAAATTTTACAGCCTTGAGCCTTGCGTTGAGAATAAGTCGCTAGTTATATGCATGAGGGAAATATTACAAATGCAAAATTATAAAATGTTGTTGAAACGGTGTGAGCATGGGCTTGCCCGAACTCTTCTTCTACTTACCATTCATTCTTTTATCCAGTCCGATTAGTGGTAGAGCTGTTCATAAGAATGCCCAACTCGATTAAACCGACCAGTTCGAATCGACCCAATCTGAGTCGGTTGGGTTTTCATCTGTACTGGTCGGTTTCGAGTTGGGCACATACATAAATCGAAATCTCGGGTCGGTTTTGGTTTTCTTGCGTGAAAACCAAAACCAATCCGACTCGAACCGAACTAGTATTCTACTAGTTTGATAGTTCCTACTTTCTAGTTTGAGTAGTTTCCTAATTCCTACTAGTCTTCTACTTTTAGACTTTTACTAGAATTAGAACTCTAAAAGGCCATTAGGCAATTATAATTAGAATTCAATTAGGTGTCATTTTTTAGTTTTTTATCTAGATTAGAATTTAGAAGGTTTCTAAATTTTTATTTTATTGATTTACCTACCTAGATTTACCTAGTTTTTTACTCTAGAAGGCCCATTATTGACACTTGTTTTTACATGAAGAATTTATTGATTTTATTCTTTACCTGAATTAAATTTAGATTTATCTTGGACTCTTGAATATCAAATTAACAACTAATTCAGATTTTATTTGGCTTTGTACAGGAGCAAAACCGAAACCGACCGAAACCGACCAGGTCAGTTTGGCCTGTCAGTGGGTCGGTTTCGATTCCCACCTTAGCTAACCCGACCAGGTCGGGTCGGTTGGGAAAATCCCAAGAAACCGATCCAACCCGACCCGTGAACACCCTTAGTGAGTAGATACTAAGGTTTTTCCAAACTCTCATTCATAAAACCAAGAGATTATATTATGATTTAGGGTTCGATTGTGACAAGGGAAAAAAGATGGCAGTGCAAATTTATTTGCACTAGTAAAAATGTATGGGAGTGTAAATGTAGAAAATGCAAATTTTTGTTTAATTTTGTTTTGAATTTTACTTTATTCTAATTCATGTCTTAATTTACTTCATTTATACTGTAATCAAACAAAAAATAAATCATTTGCACTGTCATGATTTTGCATCAATGCAAATTTATTTGTATTGCAATCAAACACAACCTTAGGGCTAATTAGACTTGGCAATTGGGTTGGGTGGGTTGGATTCGGGTTGGGTCAAGGTACTTTGGGTTGAATTTCGGGTTGGATTGTCAAATGCTAGACCCTAATCCTAAATGTTCGGGTTAGGTTTGACCCATGGGCCAATTCGGGTCATCCCAGAAAATAATCGAAATTAAAAAAAATAAAAAAAAAATTACATGAAAGTGTCAAAATTAAAAGAATTACCTTAAAATTCCAAATATAAAATAAAAAACTTGAACATTTAACAATTTAAAGAGTAAACGATAAAAAGTAAAGACTAAATAGAAACAATTAAAGAGTGGAAACTTCTAACAATACATAAATAATCTCAATTAGACTTGACAATTGGGTTAGCGGATTGACCCATGACCCAACCCAACCCAGTTTTTTTGAGTTGGGTCGGGTCGGGTTTGCAGGTTGGGTCAACTTTTTGCCAAGTCTAGGGCCAATCAACTGGTGTCACAAATTAGACCTGTTCATGGGTTGAGCTTGAGGTTGGCTTTTGCCAAATTTTGAATGGGGCCCGGCCTAAAGCCCGAGCCCGACACAATGTAAGTCAAGCCCAAAGCCCGGCCCGTGAACAAGTCTAGTCACAATTCACAAAAGAGGTGATCAATCGGGTGGAATGTGGTATTAATCAAAATCCATGGGGTGATTTGATTGATCAAAGATTTCCCCCCTATCATGTTTTTTTGGCATTGTAGAATTTACAAAAAAGTACGGATAGGCCCAATGCAGATTTCTGATTTCCACTGTAGAACTATAAACATTCAAAATGTCAACAACCCATACTCTATGCACCAACACCTGCCCGTGAATTGGCATCAATTTTGAGCTGGCACCCACCCCAAGAGTACTTTGGGCTTACAAATTCTGACCCTGGGCTGAACCCTCATTTTCCCTAGAATTTAAAATAAGACAAACTAGAAGATCATATTGTTAATGGGTGATTTTATTTATTTTACCATAAAAATATTGTTAATGGGTGTAAAATGGTTGATAATCTGGAATTTTCCATCGCCTTCCAAGAAATCACTCTTAGTGCATGGTTTTCAAAACTAGATAGGACCAGATGATTGGGCCGAAAAAATTGGAAACTGGTGATAGTTCCGTTTTATCCCAAAACCGTCGATTTGGTCAGCAAATCGCTGACTTAAGCAGTAAAACCGTTTGAACTGTTCAACACTTTTGACTATTTTTTATTTCTTTTGTGAAAATGGATCGTCCAACTTGGGAACTGTACCCCCGAATGGTTCATTGTCCGTTTGATTTTAAAAACTTTGCTTAGTGGTGATTAAAAAGTTATTTTCACGTTTGAAGGCTGAAATGCTTTTCTGTAAGTACCAAATGGGATCTATCAAAGAAGCTACCAACTGATGGGTGGCTTGGTACAACAAATCAAAAATTCAAAATTTCAACCACGTTCACCTAAACACTAATACCCGTTGATGCATTGTCATCAGTTCCGAGTTGGCATCTACCAAACTGTACGGTATAACTAAGAATTGTGGGGTGGATTGAACAGTAAAATGAAAATCGCCAAAAATGAAAAAGATGCATCAATGCAAGCTTGCGGATATGCATTGGATCATGAATTTGGATTGGCTCCTCACTAAGTGCATCACACAGGTGCCCCGCAGCACATCTCAGCGTACATCACGACGGGAGATGTTCTTCAATGCACAGTTAGAATGTGCCATGGCGCATGGGGCACATGTGGAGCCCAATCTATGGGGGGAGACGATGTAAATTCTTGAATCATATAAGAAAAATGTTTCCGATGTGGCGATGTGTTACAGGGAACGTGTGGGGGGAGTTGGGATCTCCTGCCAATAAAACATGTTCCAACACCTTAACAACATGATCCGACGTGCACATCTCACCATGAGAGGGCCCACATGAGATGTTTGTTGTCAGATCATGTTGGGTGTTGGAACGTATTTCGTTGGCAGGAGATACAGACGCGGTGTAGGTCTGCTCGGGGGGAGCCAATGCGAATTCTTGATCATATGCATCTGGAATTCTGCTGTTCCGGTCCTCTGGAACCGGAAGAGAGCAATATCTGGTTGAGTATGCGGGGGGAGATGTTCTCAATTCATGGGGGATAATGTGTTGTGGGTAGACGTGGGCAGAGTTCTCGTAGACAGGAGATCCCGAGTCTTTCTGATTGGCCTTTGCCTATCTGACAGTCCACCAATAGATTGATCAGATCTTTATTTTTTTGGAAAAATCTCTCTTCTCCTATTACAAACGAGCACGTTTTAAAATGGACTATATCTATGGAACACCAATGCAGCAATGCTCCTTGAATGGATCAGTTCAGCATTAACATAGTTCTTTCTTAGGCCATTTCAAAAAATTAGAAATAATAGTGTATGTCTATATGACAATAGGGAAGAAAAAGGCTCCTTCACCGGTGAAATTGGCGTTCTTATTTATCACTGTGAACAAATGTATAAGGAAAAAAAAAAGGAAACAAACAACACACTTGTTAAATCAAAGTTAAATATAACACAGGGCCTAGAAGGTTTACAAGCTTCGCCTATTCTGTTCAGCAATCTGCAGCACCTCTTTTGCCAACGCTGAGTATGATTGAGCTGTGTCCTGCATCTCTGAAGTCCGCATGCTGATTCCCTACTCAAGAAGATTAAAAAGATTTACACTTTTTTCCCTCTTCATTCCTTTCCTCTAAATCAGAAGAACCAAAAGAACGTCTGTCTTCTAGAAAATAATGGAGATAACATAATTCAAGACAGATAAATGTGTATAGAAGATCCACAAACTCTGAAGACAATATTATAATGCCTGATTGCCTGGGCAAAGGAATTTCCTGCCTACTGAATTTGAGAGCCTTGGAACAATGAACATATTTTTTATGCATATGCATGTTAATTGATAATAGACCCTGTGATTACTCAAAAGTTGACAAAAAAGACTTCAGTTTTGCAAAACCAGAAAGAATTCCTCGAAATGGCCCCACAACTAAACATCGTTTGGTGTGTCTTCAGGTTCAGAGTAGTTGATGACCGCCTAGAGAAACTGATCGCCTCATATACCCAATTTTTGTTGTTGAAAGATGTTTAAAAAACTAAGCGTGGACCTTAGAAAGATATAATAGTTTTCAGACAGCCAATGAGTTACCTGCAACTTCCTCAAATTGTTGCTAAGCTTGTTTTCTGCCATTTTAGCAATTGATGATTCCTGCACCGAAGGATGAAACAAATATACTTCTAAATCCACTTTTGTTCTATTTTAATCATGCATACACCACTTGATAAGTGACAATATAGAAAGTGCTCCTATGTGGTAAAAAAGCTACTTATCATTAGCCTGATGCTTGTCTGGCTGGTTATAGGTGGCCTCACACGAGTTGTTTGGTGTGAGGCCTATAGATGTGTGCATTATATATTTCACTACAAGTGTCATACAGCTTTGCACATGAATGAACAATAAGGTTTTACTTTTGTATACATTTATATACACATCACATCAAAGGTTTTACCAGTCAAAGGGAATTCATGAAAATTTCTCTAACTCATACTGATATGTTAAATGGCAAAATTCAATTCAGATAATGCTCAATTCCTTTTTTTTTTCCTAAACAACACGAACTGTGTCTCTATTAAATATAATGTGTTGGTAGTAGAATGGGGAAATGAATGTATACTTACACCAGTCAAAGGGAAGCCATATTTCTTCTTGATTTGATCAATTGCACTGACCTTCTCATCTTCATGCTCCTCTTTTGATGAAGTTTTTTCATTTCTGACCTTTATTTGTTTCAGTTTACCTATAATTTGAAATTGTCAGTCTTGTTCAACTATTTGCAGAAGGACAACATTGTTTCACATGAAGTGTAACTATAAAATCTATTGCCACTCAACGATGTTCTGGTCTCATTGAAAGGACTATAATGTTTTTCAAAAGAAATTGTATGTTGGGTGTTTGCCAATTTTGCATTCTTGACTCTTTCAAATTTGAAAAATACTGATACTTTTCTTTTTTTTTTGGTTATACAAAACATAGCAAAGAAATACTGGGCCCAGAAAAATTTTCTTCTTTGAGTGAAGTATCATGAAGAAACTGGAAACTATTGCAACATGGGAGTCTGAAAAGGTAGAGACAAAATTAAGCATATACTGAAAGAAGTTCAAACGGCTTCCCTGTTTCTTAAGTTTTCAGGGCAGGGAGAGTGGTTCAGTAATCTTATGTTCAAAAAAGCCATTACCCAATGTTAGTCCCAGCTACCTGGGGTCTTGGGAGGGGTGGACCATATATGGTCCTAACCTTCGGCATTTTTTTTTTGCACAAAGTGGCTTCTCTCAGACTTGAATCCATATTCTCATGCTTGACACTTGACAGCCTGAGGTTTTACCATTACACCAAGTAATGCCTCCTAATCTATGTTCAAAAGGTAGATCAATAATTTTAGTTCTCTAGGTTGTATTACTACGTACATGATAAGAAAATGTCATTATCCAATGCTGGTTCCAGCTATCTGGGGCTGGCATCAGTCCCTATGTGATCCATTAAAGATGTCTCTATGCTCAAATTTGCACACATGGCAGTTAGATCTCTTATTCCAGATTGTTTGGCATGTTAAAAAATGCAATAGATACAATGTTTTCAACTTTCCAATTGTTAGATTGTTTGTTCTGGGAGGTCCTGAAATCTGAAACAGTGGACAAATCCCCATGTGACCTGATACTCCCTCTAAGTAGCAAGTGACCACCTTTCAAAATAGTGAGGTTATAGATTTACCCAATAATATTTTTCAACATAACATAAAATTCAATAATTCATGAAACTAACCCCAAATCATTTGGAATTAAGGCAGAGTCAAATTGAGTTGAGTTTATCAACATAGGATAAAGTTAGAAAATGCAGATATAAAGACTCTTAAACATTTACTGAAGTCTGACCTTTAATTTCATGAAATTTGTTGCTCAACTTCTGCTTATTAGATGCAACCATGTTATGCCCCCTGGGTTTCTCATCTGGATCTTCAAGGTTGATATCATCTTGCATTAAACCATCATCAAGAAAAAGATTAAATAAGATAGTTGAAAGGTTGCCAAAACCTTGAGGTTATGCCCTAAAGCTAGCTAACATGAAGGGATTGAGTGAAGCAACTCCTAGATGGATCATGGCCCAAAGATCATATTAATGTTCCATCAAAACGTGAAAACATGTTGAAAATGGGTATAACTTCAAAGAAAGAAAATACTGGATGTTAGGAATACAAAGTACTAAGATAACGTGTGCTTACAAGACTTGTGGGCAATGACTTTCCGACATACTCCACAAGTCAACCCACCTGAGTTTATTCAATAGTAAGGGGTGGTGGTTTGGAGGCTAACTTACCTATACTTAACTCAATTTCATTATCATTTGTAGAAATTTCTTCCATCTTTTCAGAAGTCAATAGAAAATTATCAGTTGAAAATATGGCTGACAATTCCTCAATAGTTGCTCTGGAATCTTCAGCTTCCACATATAGATTGTGCGATGCTTTATTTCCTTTTATATCTTTAATAATAGAACTGAATATGCCCTAAATTCCAAATATTTGCAGCAAAAGTATTAGTCCATAGAAGTTACAATGTTAATGCACAGTCTGGTCAATTTTTGACATGCTACCTACCTTTTTCTTTTCTTTACAGATTGAAGATCCAGAAGCAGGGTCATCATGTAGATCCATCACATCATTCTTGTAAACCTCACTAATAGGGTCCAAAAGCCTAAAAGGGAGAAACAGAATACTACTTGATCAAATGGCCAGCACAAGATAAAGTACTGCATTATTGATGGATTATTATTTCTTCTAGAATTATCAATACAATGTAAATTATCATACCCATGTTTCTGAACACCAGAAAAAGAAGGGAAAAAAATAAATCATGCAGCACTATTATAAAAATGGCTCCCACTTTTGATTTAATCAAATTTTCCCATTGAAGAGATCAATAATCTACAATATCCTTTCAAGGTGAATTTGTATGCTTGGTTTTCAATATTAAGAAAATTGGTCAAGCAGAAGATTTCAAGTAATACTATATTCAAATTTGGCCACTGGATTGTCATTAATGTGGTCCTCTCCCTTAATTTCTGTTAAAATTGGGTAGCTATCAGTGGGGCTTTATTCAATTGAAGGATTCTTATCCAGAAATCAAAGGTTGACATTTGATCAAATGCTTAAATGAAGCAGTATTTGAAGACTGCATAGTCTACAGTTCAGCTTTAGTCAAATTTAGAGTTGTTTTATAGGTTAAATAGGTAGTCCAACCCTAGATTTTTTACCCTCTCATATTTATTTTTTATTTCATGTAGGACCCACTTGTACTCATTGTAATTGCTGCTTATTTATAACCTAGGCATTAATATGAGTCAAAGTATGAAGTTATTTTTTGAGTTTCATTTGCTTGTAGGTTGAGTTTCATATATAACCATTGGACATATTTACTTTTCTTTCTTCTTATACTTACCTTCCTAGTTCACCACTATTTTTTTGATTGGTCTCCTTTATATCATCATCAGCAGAAGTGGGAGCACTATATTTGGTAGTACTTTTACTTTTACTATTGCTGTTGTTATTGTTATTAAGCTACTTTTAAAGAAAGGTCTACTGGATTAATATATCTTTATACACAATAATGCAGAAAAGCAATATAGTTAAGCACGATGCAACTAAATATTAGATTCTCCTCAATAAGTTAATTACTCTGTTCCCAAACAGATGCAATGCGACTTGGCAGCTGATCAAGGAACTGGGCATTATGTGATCTGCTATTTCAGACCCAAAATATTCATTTAAACCAAATTGAAAATGTAAGTCAGACCTAAAGCTAAGTATTTCATTTTTATTTTGAAATTAACAAATACAGAAGGTTTAGAATACATTAGCACCAGCGTGACCACTGGCTAGATAAACCACTTGTCAAGGTTTCAAAACATTGCCAATAATTGAAGCAAATTGTGCACATCGTAATGCTGCTTTATGCTTAGTGAGCTTGTGAATGATTTACCTCAAATCATTCATTTCAACCATTGCATCCCCTTTTCTTAATCATATTCATATACTTTATGATCAAGTCCATAGAACACTATGTGAAAAGTTTTAGCCTCTTTATGTATAGATGCCTTGGTCAATGTTGCATGGAAACAGACATGGGTATCAGAACCTGACACGCTTGCCTGGGAGTCTAACTCGGCAAGACTATAAAAAGGAAACTTGTGGGCATGTCTATAGAAAAGTATATGTTTTCTGAATCCTGACATTGCATACTTAAAGAGAACCAGTCTAAAAGTTAATTTTTCTTATGCTCTTTGTGAAAATAGCACTTATTTCAATTTTCAAATAAGCAAGAACAAAAATGACAATATTGTGTAAAATGTCCCTCAAGAATCCATGGAATTTAAGAATTCAAAACATGTTTGACAATACAGTGCTGACAGTTCATCCATTATGAAAGTCCTTGCAACTGGATCTAGAGACTACGGTCCAAATTGCCTAGAGGAAGCTTTTACTCATGTCAGCCTTTGCAGTTTTTTGACAGTGAATCACCTTAGGGGGTCAGCAATTCAACTGGTGTATCTTGTGGTAGAATAATTGAAGAGAATGTAAGTCCTCTACTTCATTGCAGATTGTCTTAAAAAGTTCCTTATTGTTCAGGGGGGAAAACTTTGTGAATTGGTTTCTGTATGTCTGTGTTTTGTAACAAGGAAAAGTAGTTGGTATTTTGAAACATTTTTTAGAACTTTTCCTCATTTTTCCCTAGTATGTATCAAGCCTGTTAATTTTATTTTCTCCTTTATTCCAATAATTTCTTGTCCATATCTTTCTTGAATCAATTTTTTGCTGTTTGTTCTCCTTACAAGCTGGCATATTAGGTTTTGTATTTCTAGGCTAGTTTGATACAAGAAAAATAACCAAGGTCTTCTAAAAGATACATCTAACCTTGATGAACCCATACCTAAAAAAATTGTTTGAACAGATATATCCAATGGATAATGTATGAAGGATGAGTGTGGACATATGTAGCATATAAAAAAGAAGAAAAACCATATGCAACCATTTCAAGCATATAGGTATACCTATAGATCTCCTTCTGCTGGAAAATTGAGACAAAGAAGACTTCCTGGTCTGCATTCACCTGTGACCAAAAGGGAAATTGATTTATCAAGATGAAGCCTAAAGAAGAAAGCTTCAAGAAAAAGAGTATATATCACACCAATTTTACCAGAACAAGTTCTCCACTAGATGAAGAGCATATTGAAATTGAACTATTAGATCTTGAGTTTGGCTTTGAATTTGATAATGTAAAACCCCGTATTGAGGTTTCCTTTAGAAGATATAATTCTGGAAGGGACCTGGATTTCCGCAAATAGAATTCTCAAAAAGATATCTAATAAATGAATTAAAAATAAAGTGCAACATGTAAAATTAAATACAATCACAAAATTGAAGAGCATGGTTCACAATATTGACAATATTTTGCGAAATGTCTCCAATTGCTTTGATTTATACAAAGCAAAGATTTGTATTTATACAAAATTGAAGAGCATGGTCAAAGAGAAAGATTTGTATCCTATTTCCATTTAAGTCTTTTAATCTTCTCTATTTGATTTATACAATTGCTTGCTATGCTTTTAGCCTTAAATGTGCAATTATACTTCTTCTAGTGATTCATTAAAGGTTTATTAACTAATTCCACAATTTTAGAAAGTTATGACTTAAATATAAAATCAGTAGTAAATAATCTTTGTTGTGGGAAAAAATGACTACTAAATATTGCAGGATAGGCTTTCTACATGTTACGATATTTTAGGGATTCCTAACCTATTTATGGCAATTGATCTTTACCTAATCTTAATGATTTACATTAATCTTAGAATTGTGAACAAGAACCCTTCATTTTCTCAGGTTTCCATGTACAAATGATACAAATTATGATATGTGAAAGAAGATGATGGAAGGTTGGAGGATGCCTAATGTCAGAGCAAGTTTGAAGTTCTGCAAACAAAGCATGCATGCCGGCCAATGTTTGAGGTGGCTCTTTGTCAAATGGGGGGTTATGTTAGTTAAATGGTCAAGGGGACGTTTTTAGTAAGGCTTTTCTTTACTGTTTTTAGAAAATCCATCAAGTTGGTGAATCATGGGTCAAGATTCAGATATTGACTATTTGAGTGAGAACTTTATGGGGTGCTATACCGCACCAAGGGGCAATATATATATTGAAAAAGGTAAGGTAACTTTATTAAGAAATGGAAATTGGATACAAATAGGCCCCTATTAAGAAGCCAAAACTAGGTCCAAGGCCCAGATTACATTGCACCTCAAGAAGCCTTCTAGAGCTCAGATGGGCTCCAAACACCCTGGTTTGGAAACCTTTTACAGATGCAGTCCAAGACACCACTAAGGGGCTCTATATAGCATTCTAAGGGGCCCTAATGATGAGATAAAAGGAACATGTTTTAAAAGACAAAAACACCCCACGTTTTGGATTTTGCATAGAAAGAATGGCTCCTTTGCTTCACTTAGGATGCGTCCTGTTTTTCAACAATGGAATGTGCCCAAAATCCTTTTTTGATGACAAGCTTGATTTAGTTAGGCTATATTTCTAGAAAGGGTTCGACTATGATGTGGAAAAGATATGAAATGGGAAAAACAACTGACCAATAAACTGAAATCATAAACGTGGTAGCAAATAAGGTGTTATTTATCAAAATTCATGGGTGGGTTTTGATTGGTCAAAACTCTTTCCATATCATATCTTTTCTGCATCATAGATTTTCCCTTCTAGAAAACAAGAGAACAAAAAAGGAGGTTGATGATATCCCCATGTATTAAAGCGATTTAATCTCTGATGTCTTTTAGTAGTTTCCAACAATCAAGGGTAGTTTAGGAAGTTAATTTTGATGTTTTATAGGGTTTATGAGGCTGTAAAGCTCATAAGCACTGTTCACACACTGTTCATCTTATTCTATTGTTGTTAGTTCTAGTTCAATAATAAGAGTTTGATAGTTCTTTCTTCCATTCTCCATATTTGTTTAGTATTGAGAATATTTTATTTTTTTTATCTCTTATTTTTTCTTATTTTGATTGCTGTAATTGGTTCTACCTTCTACTGTGTGCTGATTTGTGAGAATTCTAGGATGCATTATCATCTAGTCCATCTTAATAGTTGATTGAGTTAATAAATTAAAACGGAGTTAAAAAGACAGTGGGTTATATTGCAATTAAACCAAGTCCTTGCTGACTCCCAACTCCCAAGGAGAATGGCTCGTGATGGAGTCAAAGCAGACTTGTTTAGAATACCATGTTGGTCTCTCCTAAACACGATTACATTGTTAAATATGTGGCATAAATTGATGAGCAGCATATCAATGTTCAATACAGAAAATTTAAAGAAATGCTAAAAAGAGAAAAGTTATCATCTAGTCCATCTTATTAGTTGACTGAGTTAATAAATTAAAACGGAGTTAAAAAGACAGTGGGTTATATTGCAATTAAACCAAGTCCTTGCTGACTCCCAACTCCCAAGGAGAATGGCTCGTGATGGAGTCAAAGCAGACTTGTTTAGAATACCATGTTGGTCTCTCCTAAACACGATTACATTGTTAAATATGTGGCATAAATTGATGAGCAGCATATCAATGTTCAATACAGAAAATTTAAAGAAATGCTAAAAAGAGAAAAGTTATCATCTAGTCCATCTTATTAGTTGACTGAGTTAATAAATTAAAACGGAGTTAAAAAGACAGTGGGTTATATTGCAATTAAACCAAGTCCTTGCTGACTCCCAACTCCCAAGGAGAATGGCTCGTGATGGAGTCAAAGCAGACTTGTTTAGAATACCATGTTGGTCTCTCCTAAACATGATTACATTGTTAAATATGTGGCATAAATTGATGAGCAGCATATCAATGTACAATACAGCAAATTTAAAGAAATGATAAAAAGAGAAAAGTTATCACCTTATTTCAATTTTACCACTTGTGAACAGGAGAATTAGGCCACCATCAAACTGAGGGGTGCATAATGTTGATGCAAAGCAACAACTTTCATGAAATTTTTTCTTTTGGTACACCTTCTTAACTCCCTGAGATAGTAAGAAGTGGAAGAAATATGGTATTTTCAGATAAAGTTTCCAAAATATGTCATTCTTTTCAGGTAAAGCAGTTAAAGTTTCACTATGAAGTGCTTGTATATGAGAGGTTACCTGAACCACATGCATTAAAGAATATAGATATACAGATTTCTCAGAACAAAATAGTAGCAGTGATTGCTTGGATCTACTATCCTCGACAGAATTTGCTTTCCATATTTCCATATTGTCTGACATATCCTGTCCACCTGTGCACATTATAGACAATTCTTTTGGTTGGGCAGATTGTTTAATACTTTCAAAAGTAGGTATACTGTTTTCTACTGAAATGAAGAATTCAAGTAAATAAGGGTAGGGGTAGGGTCCACTCATTTGCTTAAACATGTAAAATTGTACAGAAAGGAGGAGCTGTTGGCCTCCTTATTCTATTGAAGTCCAGAAGGAAAAAAGGCATTATTACAACCTGAGGATGGTAAGGAGTGCCATTACCCAATGTCTTCATGAAAAGAGCTCTGGAGGGTTTCTTAGGATGGACCATACTAGTGCTCAAAGTGTTCCCACTGTCACTCTCAAGAGCCAAAACTGACGAGTCTTTTGTTGCTACAAATAACACATTCTTCTCAAAACCATGGAATCTGCATGCATTAAACTCTAGAGAGATGACATCATTACTGAATTCACTTGCAATGTGTTTTTGAAATAATACAGTGAGCCCTTCCATGTCAATGAGTGAAATCTGGAAGAAGCATAAAAAAGAAATTAGAATTTTATCTTCAGTCCTCCATTGTAAAAAGCCTCAATAGATATTCTGACAAATGAAAGAAAAAGAGCCTATATTTGTTAAAGGACTATCCATAATATGATTTAATAAAATCATTTAGAATAAAAATATCGTTTTCTAGGTTCACGGGACCCATAAACTTATGATGTATCTCAAAATAGATCAGACATTTGTTCAGTGTCAACCATTTGTGATCAATAAACCTCAGATGCACTAAGAGTGAGGATGGGACCGTTTGTTGAGTCCAGAGCTGGCCTCAGGTAAGTATGCAAAAAGTCAACTAGACAATTCTCTAAGAAGTGAGGATGTGCTTATTATCCTTCCAACCCCAAATATTTTATGACTCTTCTCAACTCTGATATCATCCAAATCTAATTGACAAAAATAGTGTACCAATAAATACTACAATTCAACATATTAAATAAATAAAACTTACATATCCCTGGTCAGAACCAACAGCAAGATATCTTGAACTGCAGTCTGTGTTGATAGAAAGCACAGCTCTATTAATCTTAATGAGTTTAACACTAAGGATTATTTGACTGCTTCCCTTTTTTGTACTTCCTGTGAAAGAACAAAAAGAAAAGAAATGTTGGCCAAGTGTTTCACTAGCCTGGTTGATTTTCAAATATGCTAACTATGATTAAAAAGATCCTTCTCTCCAGGAGAAACTGGCAGCAAAGATGCACAAGTAGACAATTTCTATCATTTCAGGGTAGAAAAGAGGATAATAGATGGTAAATTAGAAAACAAAAGAGATTTTTTCACAAACATGAAGCATAAGTGAAGTTTAAGCTAATCAACACCGAGAAGTTTTCAAACAAGCATGCCATATGGTAAAGTGTTCTAGAAAAGAAGTTAAGAAATCAGAATCACCATATCATATGATTTCTGAGTGTCAGCATGCATGGTGATATAATGCACCAAAATATAGCTAGAAAATGTACCGTGTCATTATTCTAGTAAACGTGTCATATGATTAACATATAGAATTGAATAGGCATGACTAGGAATAGAAGTTAGCTCTGCATAATGGGTGGAAATATTTGGCAGAAAATGCATAACAGTTCATCTCTTCCTGATGATGGTCATCCAAGCCTTATTTCAACTATATGGGGTCTGCTATATAAATATTGTTTTGCCATTCTATTCTGTTTAATTCCATATCCATTGTTAAAATATGAGCACTTAAATCATTTATTACTACTTCAATCCATGTCCTTTTTGGTCTACACCTAGCCCTTCTAGCCCCTTCAACCTGTAATAGATCACTTCTTCTTACATGTGCTGTCGATCGATGGTTTATAAATTCTAGGGCCTATGATATGCCATGAAAAATGTGATGACAATGTCCAAATGTTAAGACCTATGATACCAGTATTAGGAGATTTATACATGCCTAGCGCACTGGTGTTGCACACTACAATGACTACATGCCCAATATGACACTGGATACTGAAAGGATACTAAATACTTTAACATGCGGGGGTCTAGGACCCTCAGGAATTGGAGGGGTGTTCAGATGGGATGATGGGTAAAAAATGGCTCTGTTTTCAGGATATATCGTTTTTGGTGACTCAACAAGGGCAGAGATATTGGCAGTTTTACATGGACTGAAATTAGGGAAGAATTAAGCTACGGTGGGGTAATGCCAAAGTCAGTTCAAAAGTCAGAGAAAGAGAGAGATAGAAGGAGAGAGAACAGCAGAATGGTGCGTGTGACACCTTGTCAGTCGACACCCTAAAAGATATAGTTATATTAAATTGTAAAAGGACAGATCTGCCCTTAATGTACAGGAGAGAGATAATACAAAGAATAGATATACAACAAAGAAAAGTAAAAGTACAAAAATAGCCCTACAGCTAGATTTCACTGTCTCTACACTCCCCCTCAAACTGATGTTTAGGAATAAGCATAAGTTTGTCCATGAAAAATAGATGTCAAGCCCGAAAGAGACATGAGTAAGAGATATGGTACCCTCAAGAAGGAGATCGCAAATGAAGTGGCAATCAACTTCTATGTGTTTGGTGCTCTCATGGAAGATGGGGTTGGATGCAATTTTTATTGCACTGATATTGTCTGCATAAAGAGGAACAAACAATGAAGGCTCATTTAGTATTTCAAATAGAAGAGCCCAAAGCCATATGATCTCACTACACATAGAAGACATAGCCCTATATCAGCTTTAGTGGAAGATTTGGACACAGTAGCTTGTTTCTTGCACTTCCAGGAGATAAGGGAGTTGCCTAGGAAGACACACTAGCCAGTAGTGGACCGTCGGGTGTCAGGGCATCCAGCCCAATTAGCATCCGCATAGGCCATAAGATGAATGGGAGATGATGAGGAGAAGAATATCCCATGTGACAGTGTGCCTCGCACATCATCAATGCACAAGCCTCACAATTCCTATGTTATCAATATACTTAGCAACCTTGATAGTGTAATTGTATTTCATATACTTGCCTATCAAAAACAATTACCAAGAGTCAATAAGATGAGATTGTCATACAGTGATGCATATTTTGCATTGATGAGGGTTGGTTGATTATTTTTCTTGTATTTGATGTATATCCTCATATATCTGGAATCCTAGATGCAGGTACATTAGCGAAATCATTAGTTACCTATCAGAAAAAAGTCTAGTCTAAAGATTTGTTGGATAATAAGTTAGTGATATCTTCATCTCATATGCTCCATAATAGGGTTTTCTCTAGTACAATGCTGCAAAAGTCTTCTCCCTCTTAATTGGGATAAAGAAGGCACTAGCTCAAATAATCCTCTAAGTACGAAACCACATTCAAAGGGTGCCATTCTGACATGAAAAAGGCAAAATGTTGTTGCAAAGTTTGAAGAAAACTCATGAGGAAAAGATGGTTGATTGTAGTATACTCACCTTGCATGTAATGTGTGCATGAGGAGATACGATTCCACATGTATATTTTCAATGGAGCATCTCATAAGTATTAATCTTCATATGCTTCGCCTTCCAAAAAACCATTTTGATGCGGTAATTTGTTGTATGGTGTTACCTTTTTCAAATGGAAAAAAAATTCACACAGAAAGTGAAATGGTGAAGAGTTTCTTGATTTTGTTTTTAAAAGATATTTTCAGACTTTTATCAGTGTAGATTTTAATTATGAGAAATTTAATATATGGTTCTTGGACAAAAAGAGTAGTTTATGAAATTTTAGAATATGTATCTTTTCAAAACAAAATGCACCATGGCATGGAAAAATATAATGTTTTCAGTTCCTCCTTTTATTATCATCATTTCATGAAAGATTTCCTCTTATATTCCTTGCATTTTATGCTTATCTTACATAGTTCATGCCCTTATCATATCTGAAAGTTTTTTGTGCTTCTAAACTTGAGATAATCAAAATAGAAATAAAAACTTATGACCTAAACAAACTGAATCAAGAAATTGAAACTTTCTCCCTTTAATTTTAGCTTTTGTTGAAGCGTCACCAGAAATGATGTAAAATTTATCATCCTTTCAGGTCATAGTAATCCCTATGCACTGTTAGGTAGTTAAAGACAGCAAAAACTTGATGAATGCAATTGCATGTATTGGTAATGTCATGATGTCTTCCAAACTAACAATCTATTGCAAAAATAAATCTAGGTCATTTCTTTCTTGAAATTTAAGAACATATTTATCTTAATGATTAGAAGAAAAGAATCATGCATTGATGTACCTTGTAGAGATAAGATATTGGTCTCTGTAGAAAAATGCTTGGGTTTCAATTTGAAGATGCGAACCTGCAGAGAAGATAAACAATGAAGCAGAAAATAATTAGCTTGATCTACACAGAAATTGATCATATTACATAAAATTCAGCAAGTACTTCACCACTCCATTCTGATCTCCAGAAACAAGAACCCAAGAGGTGCTATCAAAATACAGTGCTGTCACAGGAATTCCACTCAAAGAATGTTCATCTTCACTCTGCATTATTAAAATTAAACCAGAATAGCCATGTTCTTAAAAGTCCTAACTATAAAAAACACTGGATATTATGCAACCTGTATGAAACATAATCACAGGATTACCAAGGGAAATTACCTGTTGCTTTATTGATGCAATTGGAAGCAGAAAGGGACATGACAAATCCCAAAAATTTATAGATCCATTGCAATGCCCTGTTATATATAAGTTTCTAATCTTTTCAAACCCACTGAAGTGTGAAGAACTTAAGTGATGCCTATCATTTCCTTTCATATCAGTTGGAAGAAGCTGTGGAAAATCTTTTGCCATTGAAACATAATCCTACATGTTGAGAAAATCATACAATTACATTTCCAGGACAGTTTCAAGCATATAACTCAACAGTAATGCATTCAGTAGTCAGAGGTTATGATTATAATACCTCATTCAGAGATCTTAAAAGATTTCTGTTATCTGTAATATATTTTGCCACGGTTATGCTTGAATCAACAAAAGGCAGTTTTACTGGAACCTCCCTTGGAATTGATGGTGGTGACCTTGATTGACATTGTAATAGATACTGTTCAATTGTAAAATCATCATAAATATACAGGTGACCTGACTTCAATAGAACCACAAGAGAATCCTGTTTATGTTTGTTTGGGTCGCCAGTGCATGAAATGATTTCCATGTCTATGCAAGGTTCTGGCAGCGGAAGCATCAATTTAATTGTATGGGCATCCGTATTCTCATTCAGAGTTATTACCTACCACATTGGAACCACCCTTCATCATGAGATGGTTAGACTAGAAAAAAGGAAATGTGTTTCAAATACTGGAAGTATGTCTACGTAGTCCATCTTCAGAGCTCAAATTAATTGTTTCTACATGCATGTCCTCTTACCTAGAATGTAGCTGTCTTCAGCAGGAGGGGATTCTGGTGAGGAAAATAGGGGACAAAAATATGCCTATTGACTATAAGTACTAAGTACTACTAAGCTTCCCTAAATGTCCAGAAGTCAATGATAAGAAAAATAGGTGGATCAGTAACAGCAAATAACACTAGTTGGGAGGAATGATAGTAAGAATGAGAATTACTTCATATTAATATTTCTATAACTTTGTACTAAATCACCAATTATTGTCTATATTCAACCAAGGTAGAATATTTAAATGAAAGTAGCATAATGTCCACAGACCTGTAATGAGTTTGTGGATGCAGAAGATGCACCATTGACATATAACCGACTTGCCTTTCCATTTGCATATGCCCATTTTAATGAAACTATAGGAATGTTGTCCATCTTATACCCAAGATTAAGTTTTCTAAGAGGAACATTTTGGGCAAAACATACTTCTTCCCTATCTGCTAGTAATTCACTTTTTAAATTTGCAATTGTAGGAATGTTCCAGAGTAAAATCTCTCCATTCCCATATCCAACAACAACTTTACTTCCAAAGGGGCATGCCCAGCAGGCAGAAGTTACTTGCTTTGTTTCATGACGTAATGAATGCAGAATATTTCCACCTGTTACAAAATTGACTTTACATTCCTGAATTTCCCATAGGGTAATAAGACCATCTCTAAATATTATAAGAACCCTGCATAATGAAGAGAAAGAAAAATCACTAGAAAGATTAAAGAAAATATAATTGCACAAATGTAAAAAGTACTCATTCCCTTCTAAGGATTATTTGGAAAATTCTTTGAAAAACTTGGTCAGCATTCAAGTCAGACTTGGAAAATTGAGCCTCAACAATTTAGGGCCCAGTTTCTGACCCTGCTTTTTTCATTTCTGTGTCATTATTACAGAAAAATAATTGCTTTATTTTCCAAAATATTTGTTGTCCAAAAATTTATATGGTCCCATGGGGTTGACACCTGTTAGATTATATGTGAAATTTCGAACCCATGTAAAAAGTTTGAATATAGCTGTAAGATCTTTGTTAGGAAGTGAGAAGTGAAAACTTGGGCAGCATCATTTTTCCACCCAGCATTAGATTAATTAATGTATCTGCACGGTAGTTGAACCTTGAGTTTTTCTGTATTCCCTGACTGAGGCTTGGATATGGCCTTCCCACCTATGGGCACCTTCTTGTATAACATTCAACCAAAATAAGAGTGGAAAAGTTATGGCATTTGACACAATTTAAACACTATAGAGAAAAAATATAGGAAAAAGTGTTTGGAAACATTGTTAACAGAAAGGAAAAGAAAAGCATAAATGCAATAGCACCTTGCCAATTTTGAGATATTTAGTCTCACATCACCATTTACCAGTTTTAAGCCTCAATAAAGAATTGGAGAGGTAGGGGTATCTTTGAAAAGGCTTCAGAACAATGATGATGATCATTGTTGAAAAAGGTTAACCGAAAAGTGAATGTCCTTCATTTGGAAATTTTTATCTAAGTTATTCTTCAAATCTATACTGAACCTGCAATCTGTGACTGGAAAATAGATCCATATCTATGACACCCAGATACCTGTACAAGGGTTCCATATAGTCTCATATAATCTATGATGCTTTGCTATTGAAAAGGAAAAGAAATCAATTTCTCGTCCCCTATAGGGCATAGCATGGATAGGGGGATGGGTCAACACCTTAATAAATTACTGCTGGCACTGGTTTTACTTTTATAGATGAATGAGTAGTATCCAATGTCATATCTAGCCGTGTCCTTACTGTATTTGGGTGATATAGATCCCTATCAAATTAAAGTATGGATAACTCCATATTAATATTGTATACTTAAGTTTGGATGCATGTTGCAACTAATGGCTTTTACAACTTAAATTTGTTCTGGAATATACAGAGTGAATCACAAATGCAGAAGGCAGGCCAATTTCTGCCAAAAAGCATCAAACAACCCTTAAATTTTACTTTGATCAGAAAACTTCAAAAAGGTTACACATGTAGAATTCTATGATCCTTTGAAAACTGCTGTTTACTTTGTGTTAACAACTAGAAATCATTCTAAAAGAAAGCATATCTAACAAAAAAGGCATTACCTCTTGCTTTCAGCCATTGGTTGGGGCAGTATGTGCACTACAGCAGTTTCACTTGCCACTTCAGTGTTATTCCCTAAAGTAGGGCAGTAATCAAATTAGAAACGAAGATGGAAACCATCAACCAACCAATTATGAAAAATTATAAGTAAAAACATATATTCAATATCGAAGAAGATAGCTTAATACAGTTTCTATCCTAAATCTACCTACATCTTGGTTGAGCATCAAAATGGAAAAAAAAAATCAGAATGATTATTCAATAAAATGCAAATAATAATTTTTTTTTATGGAATTGGAACAAAAACTAATAACTTTTTGAAATATAATTATATAGTCTGAGGTGCTCCATTTCCCTATAAGATTTTACAGTGATAATATAATCTTGAAGTATTGGAAATGCAGTTTTTTCATTTGACATTGCTTTTAAAATAGCAATCACATATAGAAATTTAATCTAATCCAAAACCTTACCTCGGTTTATGGTTTATACAATAGAACTTGCTTAATTTAGTTCTACATAAAACATTTTATGTATTCTCTCTTTATATAGGAAGTTACACCTGCAGCCTTTGTGGAGTGGAGTCTCCTCCCACATTATCTACTACATTCCACTCCCTTTGTATATACAAGAGAATTTGGGTAATTCCTAAGGATATTTTTATGCTGATATATTCAGGGGTAGTTAGAGGCTTGAATCCTTGTGGCCCCATTTTATCAAATTTTTGAAAACAAAGGCTCATCCATTGAGGCCAATATTCCCTTATTTCCACCCCAATTTCATATTAAGAGAATACCATATTATTTGTCAAAATAATGTGACAATAATAGGCTGAAGAAGATAATTGCTGGAAATAAGCATCTGTTTAGTTTGCATAACTCTGCATGCCTGCTTTGTTGAAATAGCACTCTATTTTCAAATTGGCCATTTTCTCCTTAGATACCTTGAAATCTTAGATTTGGTTGAGAACTTTAAGAAGTTGGAATCTTAGAGTTTGTTTCCCTAGTAGAATCCTTTAAGATATTTTATGATCAAAATCCAAAGATACATTCTTAGGTGGTTTTATTGTATCTCAATGTGGCATTTTTTGTAAAATGCATGTTTTATCTTCTTCCTTGTCTTTTGTGGATGCTATCATTTGGAAATCAGTGATTTAACTGTTAAGAAAAGATTTTTCTTGGACAGCCGATGCAGTGATTTGGATCTTGTATATCCTTCTGTTTCCTGAACATTAAGAAACTGAGATCATGTTCACATGACCATTGAAATCAAATGAATTTTAAATATTAATATGTTTTAGGATACTATTTCTCCACTTTTTTATATTAATGTTCATGTTCTTATGCAGTCTTGTTGAAAATTTGACCTCGAGGTTAAAACCTGCCTCTCCTCTCAAGACAAGGGATGGATGGTGTCATCTACGAATCTAGAATACTAGAACCTCTTTGAGTTTAAGGATGTTAGTTATGAATTTTAATTTTCTATGATAAAATTATTATTGTGGTTAGCCTGCTAATCCAAACAATAAATGAATACTTAAGATTTTCTATTATAAAATTCATGTATGGGAAAAATGAAAGATAAAATATTAAAAAGTAAAAGTTCAATATTGTTGGTGGTGAGGGGGCTACAACTGTGCCTTTTGTTCCTTTACAATGATTGAACTTCTAATTAATGGTCAACAATAGTGAGCAACCTCCATTGAACTTGGGTGTGAAAGTTTGGTTAGCATCAATGGACATTCGATGGTGGTGTCTTATATTACCAATCCAAGAAGATCTCCAAGAGTTAAAAAATATTTTATGTTTGCCTGTATGTCGAAAAGATTCTCAGCTTTGAGAAAGTATTATATTTATTGTTGCCTCTTGCTTAGTTTAGTGAATAAGATTGGTTTCCCATCTTAAATGTAAATAAATCCCTTTGATCAAGGTAGATTAGGCATTAATTCTTCTTCACCTTTTTCCTTAATAGTGAGAGAGATCCTATCCCTTTTTACGCATCTCATTTCAAGGAAAATTTGGTGGGGCTTCTCTTTCTCCCTTTATCATGTTGGCCCTCTATAGGGCTTGGGTTACTTGGGGTTGGTGGTCCAGTGGAACTAAAATAAATATACTATATTATGTGTATAAACATATACATTAAAGCATCCAGAAATAGTTAAAAGACCAGAAATGCCAGCATGAACAAGTGTAACACTAAACAGGTACAGGAAATAGTTAAAAGACCAGAAATGCCAGTATGAACAAGTGTATCACTAAACAAGTACAGAAGAAATGCACACAGTGCGCATTGAATACTACGATATTTATAGTTAGATGAATAAAAACAAATCAGACCATTGGAAGGGATATTTCTCACCATGAGTTGCTGAGAAAGGAATATAGTATTTCATCTGTACCAGTTGACATGATTCTTGGTCAAGCTTTAGAACTGAAATATTTCCACCAGAATCCCCTACATACCTGAATTTTATTTTTCATTTATACCCATTTACCGTTGTTATGTTAGGATAACCCTAGTATTTGGATAATTTAGAGCATGGTTTTTAAAACCGACCCGGAGACTGAACCGGTCAGGGGTCTGGTTACCGGTCGAACAGGCCGACCATTCGACCCGAATGGTCAACCCGTTCTGACAAGAAAATAAAAAAATGAAAACTGGTCAAAACGTTCGAACGGTTAATTGCCCGGGTCAGTGGTTTATTGACCAAAATCTATGATTTTTTATGAAAAATCCGCTTTTGGACCTGACTGTTTCCCTGTTTTTCTGATCCGACCATCCGGTCCGGTCCGATTTTGAAAACCATGATTCAGAGCATACTTACATGTAGAGAGTCTGTTGAATGACTGTGAGAGAGGTAATTTCTTCTTTGAAGCTGTGCACATGAGATAATTGTTTCCTCCTTATGTCCCAGACCTAAGATTACATAGATTTTGAAAATAAAAGTGACATGAATACATGCACTTTCTTTTCTTCATTTTAAAAATAGAAAATAATATTCAGGTAGACACGTATGGTTTCAAAATTACTTGCCTCAATGCGGTTTTGTATAGTTACATTTAGAAGGATGCCCTGATTCTCAATAAACTGTAAAATAAAAGGCCATAAGTAATTTCAATTATGAACACTTCAAAATTGTTAAGATGGTCAAAACATTTTACCAAGGACTTTTCTCTAAAAAATGCTGGTGATAACTATGAAAAATAAAAGCTAAACACAATAAGAGAGGAACCTTGAGAAACTTGCTTGGAACTGCCTCATTAGATTCCAGTAGAGCCTGAGTATTACTCTTTCCAAATAATTTGATCCGGCCATCTCTGAGAAAATCAGTACCCGCTCTCTATATTTAGACTTTAATTTTCATCACAACTTCTGAATTTCACCCCCACTAAGTGCATGTGTCTAAAATTAAATGCACCAAGCCTGATGTAAAATATAATATCAACCAACCAAAACTATAACACACCGTCGATATGAACTTCGACATGCCAAAAGACATATATGTCAAACAATAAGAATGTTCACCTCACCAATATCCAATAGAGAAAGTAAAGGGAGTGACAGTGAGAAAATGCATGAAAATAATATTGTGTAGATATGATGCATATGCAAGATCAATAATGGGAACATTGCATTAAGAATAACTCAAAGACAAATATCCTGTTACCGTCTCAAAAAAGCAGCAATAGTTACAAATGAAAATGTTTTCTATGTACAAATATCTGTCACCTCAACCGTGGAGAAATTACTACTAATGAGGATAGTTTCTAAGTACATACCAAAAAAACAGGATGGTTTCTACTTACATGCCCAAACAGGATGGTTACTACTAATCCCAGTCACCTCGCGTACCTTGGGTCACTCAGCTAGACCGAGGCTCGAATAACTCAACTTTATGCATCGGTCTGCTGAGGTGCCACATAATCTCCATCTAGAAGCAAGTCAGATGTCTCTGGACCTGAATAAACCTTATCAGCTTACGCGGAATCCATCTTCAGTTGTGAAACCAACTCTGGACCATATGGGCCAAGGATCTCGGACACGCATCGTGTGGCCCTCGACAACTTGTCTATATAAAGGCCTTGCCTCCAGTCTTACAAGGTACGTGTGACTCAACTCTCTAAATTCTATTGCAATATAGCTTTAGCTCTCTCAAAACTTCTAATTCGCTAACTTAAGTATCAGAATACCCACACCAAGTAAAACATAGAGAACACTAGATCGCGTTTCATCAATTTCTAAGTAAGCTATTATAAGAACGAATTGTTCTGCCATCTACGTCTTCCTTGACCATATGAGGCACCATTAACTAATTTGTCGTATAATGGAATTTTCCTTAGCAGGAAAAGCTCTAGATTGGTATTATATGTTGCTAATTTATTACTTTGATGTTAAAAACATACAAAAACCATGCATGTAAAGCAACATCCATCAACAAAAAACTTGAACATTAATGGAGTAGAATGTAGTAACCAGGCACCAAAAATAGATTGAGAGAAGCACTTACTTTGTAGAAATTGCAAGGATTTTTTGAATAGAGTCGTAAGCCAATGATATGGATCCTGCTGGAATTCCATAATGGAATACCAAGCGTGGATTTACGTCATCAGATTTTATACCGTTAAAATTTCCACCTGCAGGCTGTGACACGAGTAGTAACAAAATTAACATCAATCATAAAAAGTGAGCAAAAACAAATGCAAGTGAGGCGGAATTTGACGACGCATTGGAGGAAGATGGCTATTACAGTTGACTAGCATCTAAAACAACACTAATTGATCTTTGCTCTTCAATTAATCCCGAAATAACGCTCAAACGCTTCTGTAGCATAGTGGTAGTGCGTTCGCTTCGTAAGCGAAAGGTCGCGAGTTCGATCCTCGCCAAGAGCTCATCTTTTTCGTTACCCAAATTTATTTTTGGCATGCTTTCAGTTTCAGAGAAGTAAATTTGAATCATCACCTCTAAGTTTGGAACCATTTTTTTCTTTAATAAATTATCACTTTAAAGTTTGGAACCATTTTTTTCCCTTTATTTTGGATTCAAAAGTCATTCTAAGAATCGATTCTTTGATAAAAAAAAATCTTTTTTTGGGGCTCAGAATTCATTCTGAGCAGAATTTTAACCAAACATAAACTTAAATTGTAAGTTCGTAACTCGTCAGAAATATAAACTCTATTCGAATTGGAACCCTGGGCTGAACTTGGGCTACCGAACTCGGGCTTGGTTTGGAAACTATCAGATGATCACTAATTCCAGATCAGGCTGCCCAGGTTTCATAGAGTTGTAAGAACTATTTTATGATTATTAGTTTAGGCCTGCACGGGGATTTAATATTTCCATATAGTTTTTTTGATAGATTAATATTTTCATATAGTTGTACCATTAAATATTAGTAGCTTTTCATTCGATCAATCCTGATCTTATTTATTACAACGCTGTTTAAATAGAGGGCAACACGAATCTCTAAGCTTTAACAATAATAATAGCCAGCATCCATATATAATCAGATCCAGATGGGTTACCAGGGAAACATGAACGTGAAACCTCTTACCTCTGTATGTGAGTCATCTTGACTAGTTTGAATGTGGGGCAAAGACCTTTCAATTTCAAGGGTCGATGGACATCGGGAGTAAGTAAACACCACCCATCACGTTGGCAACATCTCCCCATCTCCCCACGAATGCTAATAACATGTAAAGAATAGTGATTTTCTGCCAATAAAACACGCTCCAATCCCTATCTATAAGATCTGACATCCATGCATATATCATCATGAGATTGGAACCCACCAATAGACTCGTTATATATAAGATGTGTGGTGTTAGATCAAATCGGTGAATTGTTAAGACGTATTTAATTGATTAACAATGCCGATTAACATGTAAATACCGAACATCTCCCAAAGAATCCTACCCACACCTACCCTCAGGACACACATCACATGGCCTTTCGTTTGAAATGTTTTTCCATATTTCTCCCATCTACGAGGAACTTCTTACTTTTATTCTTGTATACAAGACGACAAAGAAAAAACAATTGCTAATATAATAAATAAATTAACAGGCCTGTTTGAAAATTTGAAAAGCAAATAATAAGATCATAGAATGATGGTAATTCACAGTAAAATAATAAAAGCATAATTACACGTGTACGATGGATTAATTTCACCTTCCATTAGTCATTAAGGGATTGATCTCTGAGTGGTCAAGATCATCTCACCATGTACTAGGTCTAGGGCTGTGAGTACATATGCATACAATTAAAATTGCCTGTTGGGCACGCATCCTTGTCTCTACTATCTAATGCCATGATCGTTATGAGTAAACTATCACCCCATGGTCCACGCGTAACTTTTTAAGTTTTGGGTACGTTAGCAAATGCCATGAGTCCACCAAATGATCAAATTTGGCTCCACAGACCGACCAAAAAGAAAAAGAATTAATATTAATAAAGTAGTCCTTAATCTTTATCCTATTATAAAGTAAAAGTTTTTTTCCTTAATTCTTGTTTTCCATTCTTTTCCATGGAGAATAATTAAAGACACAGATCGTTGTTTCAAGCTAGAATAAAATGTATCCATCCAAAAAAGAATAAAATGTACAAAACGTTTTGGTTACTCCGGGGAACTTGTCTCTTTTAAGATATTACCAGAGTATATCAACTAATAAACCTTACACAGTATTGTATATTAGTATATATAAGTAGAATACATCAGTGTTTTCGCCTATTGTATTTCGTACAACAAATGTTAAATTTATTTCGACATGGAGTTTTCTTTGGTTATCTTATCGATTTGTATGTTGTGAACAGATGATCAGACCTACATTATCGAGTTTTTCTTACTTCGGTTTCAATTTTTTACAAGTAGAAGACAAGATCCATGAATCCAGATAGTGGTGAAAAAAATAATCAATCTTAAATTGCGCTATCTCTCGAAAATGTTTTACTGAAAACAAGTTTGATGCAATATCAATAACACTTCGTAAAGGTAGAATGCAAGATGGAGTAGAAAAAGTTCCTCCATGTCTAAAATTAACCTCGGGATCCGTGGACGAAAGACAGAAAAGAATCGCAGAAAATTTTAACTCGAAGTGGAGAGTCTATAGAGAGTTCACATACAAGTAAGAAGATATAATAGAACAGCGCGTTAATGAATTTAAAGAGAAATCAGAGGAGACGAAAGAGAAGAAAAATATACAGGAAATGAAGAAGAGATCGATCGGTTACAAACCTTCTTCGAAGCCTTCTCAACGAGCTTTTTGACGAACATTAGAAGACACTCCTACTAGGACTATACTACTTCTCAGAGAAGTCTCCACGGAACTTAAAAAGATGCTGATTCTGATGTTCGACGAAGAAAGAAACCCTAAGAAGCAAACTTTGCCTGCGTTGTGAGAATCGCCTGAAAGAGGAATTAAAAACGATCGAGGGTTTGAAGGATGGAAACTGGAAACTAGAGAGAGGGAGGGGGGTGGGGGATAAATGCAGAATCAGCAGTTGATTGCGGTTTTTAAAGGCAACAAAGGTAGGAACGGACATTTGAACACGTGGCGATTGATTAGCTACGGAACTTCATTACGTCATTATCAGGGATTGACTGATAACGATACTCACAGCACAGAAGATATTCTTTCCCAAAGTGTATTACTGAAAAAAAGAAGATTCTGTTCAAGGCTCCAAAACATAATCAGTAAACCAGATAGGTATTAGTTGACTGATTCGAGTCGATTTGAGTAGTGGGCATGGGTCGACATCATAACCAAATGGGCCCCTACTCTTGGACTATGGGGGACATCTGGCGGTTAAGAAGGAAGCCTATTGCCTCAGGGTCAGGGTTCATATGGCGAGTAGATTTAGGGGAAGTTAACTTGATATTTCATCATGACTTAGGGGTGCCAATTTCAAACGCAACCAGTGTGACCCAGTAAACCTACCCATTTATAACCTGTCCATTTAATTTTGCAGGTTGGAACTTGGAAATGGATTGGATAATCCATTGGATGAAACCACTTTCATACTTGGGTGGTGGGATTCAATTATTCAAATCAAATGAATCAACCAGTGATGTCATAAAATAGAAAAAATAGGAATTATAAAACAAGAAATTTATAAAAATTGGACATGTATTTGATAAATTCTTACTTCAACCAGGCAAATCAATGATACTGAGATGGTAATAGAACCGGTTGGTTCAGATCAATTCACTAAACCGGCCATTGGCAATGTCAATTGGTCCAGTCGACCAGCTCAGTTGTGGGTTGAAAACGCACCTCTAATCTCTCTTCTCTGATTCTTTATCTCGATTAAATTGTCCTTATATATAAGCTATCAAAAAATAACTTGATTTTAAGTCATAGAACATGGTAGTTTCAACTGATATTTCTTGCCTATGGTTCAAGAAGAGACGCAATAATTCGATGATCAAAGATTAATTTTCAACAACTGGTCTAAGAGTAGTTTTACTAGAACTAATACAATTTGATTTGAACTTTCGTAGCTTTTTCGATAATATATTATGTAGAAAATTTAAATTTAAAAGAAAAATTTGTACTAAAGTTGTATTATAAATATTTTTGCACAATTCTATTACATATTATTTGGATAAAGTACTAGATATTTTTCATCTTATATAGGATAAAACTTCAAGTTAGACAAAGGAGAAGCCAACTCAATGTATGTCTTATGAAGTGCTACAGGCAGCAGTCAGGCTTCGGCAATTTGAGCTTTTGCACAATTGGATTTGGATTTTCAGGATCTGGGCAATGCTTGGGCCTAGAAATTAGCTTGACGACAGTTTGGGTTTAAGGCTCGCTTGGCCCAAGCTTGGGTAGAGCCTGCTCAACCTAACTCGAACCTTTTGTTTGAAAGTCAATGGCTAATTTCATTAAGAATTTCTTCCGATGTTTCCAAGAACTTCATCAAGTTTGCAGAGTACTTATAAGAATTTTTTCTGGTTCCCAGGATTTGTTTCTTTATCAGTAATTTGGTTTGGATTGATCTTTTCATTTTTTTGTCTATTATCGCTGATTGTATTCTCATGAATTGTATTTGAGATTCTGAGCATTCTTAATGAAATTCGAATCTTTAAATCCATATTCATGCTCATACACACATTAAGGGGATGTTTCGTATGCAACCATGGATGCATTGCGCATCCGTTTCTGGTCCACCTCAGCACTACATAAGCGTTTCAGGCAAAACGTTAAAAACAAGGTATTTGATACGGTATTAACCATCGTCTTCTCCATTTTCTTGTGCAATGAGTGTTATTGTGTTAACCATGGTTTTGAAAACCGGATCATACAGTCGGACCGGTTGACCCTCAATGAGTAGTTCCAACTACACATGCCGACCCACGTGTTAACCATCGTCTTCTCCATTTCTTGCGCAATGAGTGTTATTGTGTTAACCCTGGTTTTGAAAACCAGATCAGACAGTTAGACTGGTTGACCCAAGAACTGGTCAGGTAATCGGTTACTGATTCTATTTCACCCTGAAATCATTCTGGTCCAAAAATCTGTTGACTCAGGAGATTGAACCGTCAACCTGTCGATCCATCCATTCCAACTGGACAATCAGACCGTTCGACCCAAAAAGCAATGAACAATTCCGTATCCTATCCGACTTTTAAAACCTTGGTGTTAACCACCGACGTTAGTCTTTTGGCTTCTCCAGCAAATTAAAGGTGAATCACCATTTTCTTGTGCAAAGGGATTGACTTCATTCATTGGATTGGAATAATCAGCTGACTAGTATACACTACTGCTACATTGGATCAACAGTGAAATTAAGCACAACGCTCACTAACAAGCAAACAAAAAACCACCTCGAAGGTTGCAGAAGTGTCCGATCAGCATGCAACGGTACCAAACAGTTTTCGTTCAAACACCCACGCCATAACTCACCACCATGCCAAATACCATCTAAACTTGAATTAATGCATCATGTATGCAATGTTTAAACATGTATCTTTAGCATATTGAAGTGGATCTGGTAGTCAGGTTGTTTAGGAAAGAGGGCTGGATGACAAAGCATAATCTCTTCCCATTTTATATTAACGAAGGACTACAAATATAAATATATAAGAGTGTAAAATCTTAAATTTTGTATTACTCTTTTCAAACTGAATCTAACGGGAAAATTTGAATCCAAAATTCTTTGCCGTGTGATCTCAGAAGAAAACCTGCTTTTGGGAAAATCTTAAAAGAAATACAAATATATTATACAATATATGTAGAATGCAAATCTTTGTATTTTGTATTATTTTATATGCATTTGTATTCTACATATTTGAATTTGTGCTCCTTCCAAATTGAGTTTAACCGCTTATTGCCTTTTGGGCCCAAATTTCTTGTGTGATAGCTCAAAGCGATCTGAGTGGTGGCTCAGTTGGTACATTAGTTTGGTTGTCCCAGGAAAGTTATTAGTGTATTGCTGGTTTGCTGGGAGTAGGTCTGCTTTTTGGGTCATTGAGTGAGCTTCCTAAGATGACCCAATAATCTAAAATGTTGTAATCTAGTGGCCTAGTGGGTGTCTGGCATTGATGAGTTCCATAAGTGTTCGGGTTCTGCTGATGTGTCATGTATGTCACATTAGCAAATAAAGAAAACCACATTTAACAATTCTGTTTCTTAAAATAACGTTTTTGTAATGATTTGTTTTCCTGTAATGATTAGATTTAGGATTTGGGAAAGAAGGGGTTTCTTGAAACGTCAAATTAATATTTATTGAATTGCCCTAATGACATGGTACACCGAAATTTGAAAAAATTGACTACTTTTTTGAGATGTTACATAGTTATCATTATAAATATATTATAATATTAAGTCAAATCACTTTAAATGCCTAGTCAAGCCTGCATTTTTTTTTGTGTTTTTCAAAAAAAAAAAAAAGTGAAATGAAACACTTGTAATCAGGGCCTACTTGTGAAATGCACTGGTGCCAAACACCCACCTAATTGGAGGCCCACAAGTAGGCCTGTAAACGGTATTCGAATCTGAGATTCAACACAATTGAATCGAATTTGGATAATTCGAATAGGATATTCGATCGAATTCGAATATTAATTTCTTACCGATTAAATTATTGGATCGAATTTGGATATGCATTGATCTGATCCGATAAATATCCAAACCGATATATATATATATATATATATAATATTTTTGTACATTAATGTAATAAATAAAATCTCTTAGGGGTAAATGAGGAAATATGTTCCTCAAACCCCCAGTCAGCCAGCCCTAAACCCTAAATCACTTGACATTTTCTTCTCAGCCTAGGTTTTCTTCTCTCTCGCCACTGCCTTGCCATTCTCTCCTCTCTCAACTCTCACTCTATGCAACCACTAACAAGAAAAAGACAACAACTCTCTCTCTCTCTCTCTCTCTCTCTCTCTCTCTCCAGTTTCCATCTCCTTGCAAACCCTAATCCTCCCTTCGCCACCGTTGTCATTGCTGCTGTCGCCCGAGCAACCACATCGGCCACACCAGCGACTCAATGGTCGAGTACTGGTCACCAGCCATCGCCCCTCATCCTCTGCCTCTCCTCAGTTCTCTCCTGTATCTCATCTAATCATCTTCTCCTCTATTTCTTCTCTTTCAAATCTCGATTCATTATCACAGCCACTCGAGCAACCACCATCACCAACAGCAACGTCAATGACAACAATCGAGTGACAGTGGTCTCGACGGTGATCACCATCATCGACGACAACCATCATCTTCTGCTCTATCTCTCCTTCGCCGCACTACCATCGTCAGTGACAGTAGTCTTGATGGAAACCACCATCATCGACGACAACCATCATCTTCTCTATCTCTCCTTCGCCATTGCCGCACTGCCACCACCACTCACCGACCACCACTACCATTGGTCGAATTCGAATCGAATCGAATATTCAATTTGATAATCAAAATCGAATTCGAACTCAAATATTTGAGAATTCGAATATTAGTGTTCATAATCGGTTTCGAATTCGAATCTAGCTTGATTTGATTCGAATTCGATCCATTTACAGGCCTACCCACTAGTCCCATATTTTGTTTTGCTAGTCTCAATTAATGTGACAAATAGCATGGTTTTAAAAAATGACCCAGAATTGGAACCGTTTTGGCCATCGGTTCGATCATCCAATCCCAATGGATGGCCCATTATGGAAAAATAAATTAAAAAATAAAAAAAATAATTAGAATTTAAAGAATGGCCAAAAACCGTTGAATGGGTTGATAGTTTGATCGCCTAGGTCAATGGGTCGTTGACCGATTCAATGGTTTTGGCTAGGGACTGAGTTTGGGGTAAAACGGAACCGGTTGCTTGGATGGTTCCTAGGCTGAACGGTTTGACCGTTTGGGTCAACAATGATTCAAAAACCATGACAAATAGAACTCCCGAAATAGTTGATGTGTGCTAATAATAATTCCTTTTTATTTTTGAAGTGGGAACATCAATAGGATGGATCCTG